AGGCACCAGCGCACCAAGCGCGTGCCTGTGGCGGCAAGCCGTGGGGGGCAGCCTGCCGGTTGCTGTGGGGGCGGTAGTCAGGGAGCCTTTGGTGGCATGCCTGTGGGAGGTCCGCCGGTCCTGCGGCTTCGGCAGCAATTCGGCGGCGGGTACACCGAAGCTGCAGGACCGGTGGACCTCCCGCAGGCATGCCCCCAAATCCGCGTTACCAGCCGGACCTCCTGCAGGCGCGCCGCCAAAAGCCGCCCGACTGCCGTGCTTGGCGCAAAATACAGAGAGCCGCCCCTGGGTCTGATGTATCCAAGGCTACCTTGGTCTTCCCCTTCTTCTGAAACAAAGAATGTGCCTACCTAGGGGAGTATGTAGCCTGCTGAGGGGAAGGTGGTGTGTGTATGCACCACAGAGCTTGGGGGGGGGGGGGAGAAGGGATAGCTCAGTGGTTTAAGCATTGGCATGCTAAACCCAGGGTTGTGAGTTCAATCCTTGAGGGGGCCATTTAGGGATCTGGGGCAAAAATCTGTCAGGGACAGTACTTGGTCCTGCTATGGAGGCAGGAGACTGGACTCAATGACCTTTCAAGGTCCCTTCCAGTTCTAGGAGGCAGGTATATCTCCTTTAGTGGTTGCAGGCCCACTGTGGGTTGTGATCCTAAGAACCCCTTAGTGCCAGCCAGCAAGGGGGTTACAAGAATATCTTGATTCTAGTATGTACATTCTGGTTCACCAAAGCCTGTTGTAAGGTCTTAAATGAAAGCCAGAGTCACATTAGTCATTATTAGTTGTATGTATAGATATTATGCCAGGAGTTATGCATGTATACTGAAAATGTGTTTAAAAACCTGTATCAAGGCAAAGATGACAAATAGGTTTTCTGTTTGACACGACGGCTGCACATCTACATATGAAATCAACAGGGAAGAAGCAGGACAAAGGAAAAACAAGCAATTTTTTTTTTAACCGTCTTGGAGTGGAGACAAAGAACTTTGGGGATATAAGTAGAAGACGACAAGACCTTTATCCTGCATCTTGAAAGTAAATGGTCAGCGTGTTTACATTCATGAAAACAAGATCTCTGCCTACTTTGGTGGAAGATGTTGAAAAAGACTTTGGGTTAAATAGATCTTCTTTAGACAGTAGGTTAGCCTGTTAAGTTTAGTCTCTAGAAAGTGTGTTATGATTTTGTTTCTATATGTAACCCTTTTGTTCCCATTATTCTTACTCATTATCTCTTGAATCTTTGGTAAACTTACCCTCAGTTTCACTAGAAATGTATCTCGGTGCTGTGATATTAAGTTATGATCTGATTGTGAGATGAATCAGTCAGGCTGGTGTGTACTCTGTTCCCGTGGAGACAGCGGACCTGGTATTTCACTGAGTGTTCAGTGGAGAAGGGTTTGGACTACAGAGAAATGCTTCAAAGGGGTTTAGGGACTGGGGTGCACCTACTAGTGTAAGGTAAAGTAAGGGCTGGCATTGCCCAGAGGAGATTTTGTTCAGGTGGCTAACAGGCTGGTGGTGTCAAGGAGCTTACACTCAGTTAAGCACAAGCTAGTCTCCCTCTCACAGGAGACAGGCGAGCAACAAGGAGACTCGCAGTCCTGGGTACCCCAAACACCATCACAGGGTTAGTAACTGAAATTCTTT